TGCACAGACACTGACGTCGTCGGCGCCCATTCTGGCGCTGTCGGCGCCAGAGGCCATCTAATTAATTACTTATTCTCTGTCACACGACGCCCAGTCTGGCGCCGTCGGCGCTGAACAATTTTTTAACTTCTTCATTTTAACTCCAAATTTCATCATTTTTGCTTCATTTTTGCTTCAAGTCCTAAAAATCAACAACCTACAATAAAACATAAAAAATATCTTCCATTAAAATGCAATATCAAAAAAAATGAGTATAAAATATGGGTCTAAAAATGCATATATTTTTTGTGTATCAATTCTCAAAAGAGTTGATTCATCAATCATCACAAGCATTTATCAAATGAAAAATAAAAAAATGTGATTGAGGTAAAATGCAAGAAATGAAGTTGAAAATCGATCGAAAGCTTTATTTTGTTTCGTAATTAAAACATATAAAAATTTTCTTATATTACAAGTATTTAAAAAGAAAAATAAATGTTTCTACAAGTCACAGCCAAAGCCGAAGACACGTTAAACATTTGAAGACCCTACGTCGTTTTCATCATTGTTCTCCTCATCCTTTTCCTCCTCTTCTGAACCCTATAGTATTGTAGCAAGTCTATTTAGATCGAACCACTCAAGAGATACTTTCTTTGCCTTTAACTTGTGGTTGATAACTAAGGACACTTCAACTCTGAGTTGCACAAAGAGGGTCCCTGCATGCCGAGGGTAGAAAGGAAGCTCAACAAATAACTCATCCATTGTCTCTATCAATTTCATTTTTTTCTTAAGGTTATGGATCTCTTCCGTTGCAGGCAACAACAACTCTGGTAGTCTAAGTTCTTCAGCTTCAACCTCTTAGCCAGCTTTTCAGTTGCTACTACCCATTCTTCAGCAATTGTCACTCATTTTCTGTCGCCCTCATCCAATCCTTAGCCTTGGCCAATTTTTCCTCAATCTCCATCAGGACCATCAATTGAAAGTGAGAAGCAAAGCAATCAATTAATATTGATCATTTATTTGGCCCAGACCATAGAGACTTTGCTCATGAAGGGCGATGAAAGAAGGATATAAAGCCGCCAAAAGGGAATTTGAGTAACAGTTGTTCCTCCGATCAATTAAAGTAAATCAATCATCAAAGCTAGTGCTCACTTTTGCCTTCTTAGCATTCATCGAGACCAATGTAAGTGGGTGGGCTCTTCCTTTTCTTCTAGGGAGGTGGAGGAGATGAGACACTCAAATTGATGGTTGAAGCTTTTCCCTTACAACAACATACCTCCTCTTCCTCAGTGGTTGGCTAGGGCTTAGATTCAGTTTCGTTCAGGGTAACGGGAGAAGGTCGGATGGTTTTACCCCTGCTGGCAACTCAATAAATGTAAGAGTGTCGATCAAGGGGTGATTGGCACTACTTCTAGTTTTTTTATTCTAAGGCCTCCCCCTTAGTGCTACTCTTTTCCATTCAAGTTGGCATCCTCTCTATTTCTCAGTGTGGCACTGAAAATACTTGTAACTGATAAAGAGCATTTATTAGGGACCAAAGAAGTTTAGCTATTGATAAGAATTAACTCAACAGTGGTGACTCTTTGAATAACAATGGAAAACTCAAATATGAAGTAAACAATGTTCACACATTCAAGATATTCTCTCACACATAACACCACATACACCTCTAAACTCGCCACCGCAGAAGCTTCGGAAGGCTTTCACTTTGACAACTTTGATGCAAGCCACCGCCTTTTGCTTGATCTCATGGTTGTCTGAGGTCGCATAGTGATACTCCGTCGTTCACCAAATCTTCTATGATTGTAGTACTCTGTTGACAATCATCGGATTGAGATACTAGTAGACTACAAGTTGTTGTCCTTCGACGCCCAATGTTTAAACCAACACTTGATACAGTGGCTTCTTTTTAGATTTACCGATCATGCTTTTGGACGTGATGTTTCCTATGTTTCTGCATTTGGAAGAAGATATGAGACAGGAGCATTGCTTTTATTTCCATACTTTATTCTTCAACCCCTGTCATTGAAACCTGTTAAGTGAGGTAAACCGTACACAACCCTCTATACCAACCCAAAACAAGAACATGTACTTTAAGGATTCCAATGACCACAATCTTCTCGAGCGATGGCAGAAGAAGACTTAGATCATATGTTGATGATGGAGTGAGGTATAATTGAGTGGGAATGACTTTGTAACCATTGAATATACTATGTTGTTCTCAACAAAAAGGTTACCTTAAGCCAAATATGAAACAACCCCAAACCGGGTAATTTCTCAATCATTCTCC